ATGTATATATGTAGAAAAATCCTAGATCCACCACTGAGTTTGCGCTCGAGACGAGTCAGGTACGAGCTGCAGCAGTTAGTTCCTGCACTGCAAAAACCGTCCATCTTACCAAGTTTTAAAACCTTATTTCAAGCCAAAAAATCTTTTTGATCTTGTTTTGAGACTGATTTACTAAACAAGATCTGATTGTGTAAGAATAATAATCTTGTTTTCAGAATGTGTAAGATTATTTGTCTTGTTAGTCTGAAAATTTGACTCAAATTAAGTTAAAATTTCTGCCAATGGAGTAAGACAATTTTACTTGGTAAGATTCTTGAAATAAGAAAAATTTGAGTCAAATAAAGTATTTCAAGAAGTCTTACCAAGTAAAAATTTCTTACTCCATTGGCAGAATTTTTTGACTTAATTTGAGTCAAATTTTCAGACTAACAAGACAAATAATCTTACACATTCTGAAAATAAGATTATTATTCTTACACAATCAGATCTTGTTTAGTAAATCAGCCTCAAAACAAGATCAAAAAGACATTTTGGCTGAYATAAGATTTTAAAACTTGATTAGGTGGACATTTTTTGCAGTGTGGAAACGCTCCGCTGTTCCAGCTTAACTCACCAGACAGAGCTGATTTGCATAAAAATGATAACCATAAAAATCTTGTGCTGAGGCAGTACTGAATTAAATATTGCTCTAAACAAGTTCAAAACATCGGTAGTCATGTGGCACATATGATTTTTGCATGGTGATCATGACTGAGTTTTTTACCATCTCTGCTTCAGACAGTTTTCTATAAACTACCTCAATGTGATACTTGAGTAAACGTACAAGTATCTTATCATGAAATTACGTTGGTAAAAGTTAAAGTCTCATCTAAAAATTTTACTTGAGTAAAAGTATTAAAGTATCTGTTTTTCTTTGTACTTAAAAAGTGAATTTCTGACATAAAATGTACTTAAGTATTAAAAGTAGAAGCATTGAGTAAAAATGAGCTGTTCGATTAATGGGAGTTGACCTCTCCAAAAAAACATTTTTTTTCTAAAGGTGTGCAGCTGTGATGGGTTGTGTACAAACTTATACAGTGTCAGAATGGTATATATCTATACTTCTCAACCAACCACAATTTAATTCACTTTATCCAGGAGGCACAATTTATTAGGGTAGTATTTTTCTTTAACAATAATCAGCCAGAATGAAATAGGAGTAAAAACTTCTACTTCTTATCTTTTTTTAAAAAAAATGTAAGAGGTAGAAAGTACAGATAATTGTGTAAAAATGTAAGGAGTGGAAGTAAAATGTAGGCTGAAAAAGAGTCACTCAAGTATAGTACAAATAAGCAAAATTTCTAAAGTACAGTAACAAAGTACTTTACAACTCTGTATGCAGATGATGTGGTTCTGTAGCACTGACTCTCAGCATGCATTGAGGCGGTTCACATGAGTGTCAGCTCCTCAAAGAGGTGAAATATTCCCCTCAGGTTGGAGGTTAAATATTTGCCTCAAACAGAGATGTTCACCAGAGATCGAAGGATTGACGGAGACATGGTTCAACACATTTCTGCCTTGTCTACATTCAGTAATGAGGGTGTTGCTTTGTTGAGTTAAAGTGAAGAAGAAGCTGCAGTTTACTGGTCCCTCTACACACTTTCTTCACACAGACCTTCTCATCTTTCATTTTTTGTGCGTTTTCTGGTGCAAAAGCTGCGTGGTCAACTGGAGGCTTGATCTCACAGCACGAGAAACCACACAGGTCTTCCACTCTTCTTTAAAGAAGGATGCTGAAGTTTTTAATCAATACAGTATTTTCTTTCCTTCAATTAATTTAGCAGTAAATTTCCTTTGTTTATTAAAAATTTGAACGCCTTACAGATATATAAGTTGACAAAATACATGATTTTTTTTCTGTACCTGCTTTGTTCTGTTCAGTGCCACAGTCATGCTTTTTTAAGAAAACTTATACTAGCTTATGTTTTCGAAAAAGAAAGAAAAACAATTACAACACAAATTTGATTTGCATCAGAGCTTTTAAGAACTACATTTTGAAACCTTTCAAATTTATCGACGCCATACAGAGATCAAATTTAATTGTTGATCATGTGAACTTCTGTCTCGCCTCTTCATCAGCACCAGCGAGAGCGAGTTGCATTAGGAAGCGCTTCCTCTCACTCAAACAGAACAAGGGCTTTTAATGAGAGCTTACATTAACTTCTATTCTGCATGAACTTTGCTTTATTTGCTTTTTAATGGGCTTGAACTAGGCCTCTTGTTTGCGTAAGATGAATAGTTGATGAAAAAGGTTTTGTTATGGATCCAGATAATGTGTTTGAATGGAAATGCATTACGTCTTTGCTTTCTCCTGCTCCCACTCTCTCATATAAAAGGCACTGAACATAATTTCAGTCCTGATGGCTGATTATGAGCTACACAACCACACATTTACCAGAGTCTGCAGTGAAGCTGACCCAGAGTCAACACCCTGCAACAAGCATTTTCACACAAGTAAAGGAGAAGGGGCTATAATGCAGTAGTTTGTGGTCCGGTTCAGATTGTCAACAGTAGAATCCTCTGGAGTCCGTTGTGGCTTTTATGTTTGTTTTCATTGGGCAGTTCAGAATTTTAGTCTCCCACGACTGAGGATTGCGTACTTTTTTTTCTTTCTGTTTCATCATATCAATGTTGAAGGAAAAGCAGGTATTTGAGTAAACCTCCCCTGGTGTTACTTTCTGTAACATAAATCCTGTTTGAAAGTCTCTGCCTGTGACAGAACATCTGAAGAAGATCCRGTATATACCTGCAGAGGCTACAGAGGAAATCACAAGTCCTGCGTATGAAATGAATAAGGAAATTTTCAAATGCCTCAATGGTGCCGGAATCAGAGCCTCCATTCTGCGGCCACTTTGACGACCGTTCAGCTTATCGCCTGTGGGACATGGTGAAATCTTGTCGCTTTAAGAAGGGCCACTGCACAGCYGAAGACTTTGAGTCTGTGAGTAATTTTCTCGCTTGCCTTTGAACTTAATCCTTTCAGTGGAGGTTTTKGCCTTAAGGCTCTCACAGTTGTTTGGCCGATATGAATAAACCAAGAAATATGCATACAATTCTCAGTGTAYTGAAGAATCAAAGACTTTCTCAATACATATACCTATTTTTACCTGGTTTCAGAGTTTGGTTTCTTAAGAAAAGAACAAATTTATTAAAGCGTATGCAGTACAGCTTCATACACATTGTGTTCTRGAGGAGCTAACAAGTTATAATTTAATCTTACAAAACTGTAGATAAACATTGAAGAGAAATTGTTTGATGCCTATACATTTATGCTTACATCAATTGTTTTATTGCAACGTTATCTTATTTGAGTACCTGCTACAAACAAGTTGCCAGTAATAATGCTTGTTGAATTGCAATTTCATGCACAAAACTCATTACGAAACAAAACAATTGGATTTATATATATTTATGTAGGTTTTAACACCTTTGCTTTGTCTTCATCTCTAGGTGAGAAATGTGATTAATGGTAACCAAACTGTTTCAAATTGTTTAGTGAGAGTTGGTTTCTGTTTGTGGCACACACTTCGAGCTGTAAAGTTTGTCATATATGAAGCCAAAGGTGGTGGGCATATTGCCAATTTATCACAAGGCCACACAAGATGACAAACATGCATATTTATAGCTCTGGTCAATTTCTAATCTTCATTCTGACCTTWTATGTGCCAACCTTTTAAACCCTCCTACATGTACAGTATTCAGATCAAGGTTGAACGCATGCATGTCCATGTAATTGAATTTTCTGCACACAAACTGGAAGTTCTCCAACCTATCCCCACAAAAGTTGGGTAGATTATTCCATGATATTTACAATCTCCCTTTATTTGATTAGCGATCTGCAAGCATCAAGGTAGATTAACTCTGGCCCCAAGGTGTAAATAACCCCCACAAATCTCTCCACGTTCAAGGCAGCCACTCACAGGGCATTAAGTTGTGAAAACTTTATCGATARCCTCTGTGTTTGGAGGTTTAATTAAAATCCTTCTCACTGGGAAGGCAGTGTCCCCGCACTGGGACRTCCTCCACAACAAAAAACATCACGTTTTATCATGTTTGTCACAACCATACATTTATGTCCGTTCAGCTGAAAATGACAGTGTTGGCAAATCACACTGAAAACAACCATAAACTTAGAGCTGGGAAACTCAAACCTTTTGGGTCTGAGGACCCCTTA